ATTGCCAAATCGATGTCCATAGTGGCTATACATACCTACACATCCACCAGCAGTGGATGAGAGTTCCTATCTCACCACAGCCCCTCCAACACTTGTTGCTTTCTGATTTTTGGGCTATCTTTGAGGGTGTTAGGTGATATATCATTGTTGTTTTAATTTTCATTTCTCTTATGGCTAATGATCAGGAACATTTTCTCATGTTTATTGGCCATTCGGATTTCTGCTCTTGTGAAACTTCTGTTCAGGTCCTTTGCCCACCTCCTCAGTGGACAAGTAGCTTAACTTTTAATGAAATCAAACCATGCCAAGCCTACAGCCATAGATTTGGTTCCGTCTCATAAAGACCCTATAGGATTGAGTAGAATTGCCACTTAGACTTTCTGAGACTGTAATTCTTTACAAAAACAATGCCTCATCCTTCCCCCACAAAGTAAATAGTGTGTTCAAACCACCAATCTTTGGATTAGCACCTGAGCAGTTACTTTAAGTACTACGGCACCAAGGCACCTTGTGTCAGATTATATAATAATATAATATTGCTTTACCAATTTGAATTCATGTTCTTAACTCTTACACCAAAACATTACTGAAATCATTCACGTGGAATTTCAGTACATCTAGAAGTTCCTAAGGAGCCCTGGTGGCCTAGTGGTTACTCTTTGAGCTGCTAACCACAAGTTCAACTCAGTAGCAGTGAGTTTGGTTTTTGGTTTGAGAATATGGTACAAAAAAACCCCCACACTCTTTGAGTTTAATTAAAATGTCTATAGAAACACATTTTCTAAAGAAATATTTTTGTGCATGCTTATCACATATTGCCTGGTAATATAATTTGTATTTTTACATATGTCCTGTCTCTTAAACCAGATTAGTTTCTGGAGCTTAGAAATCCTTACAACCTGACACAATTTCCGGCCTATAGTAGCTCCCAGATCAACAGGTCTTTTCTCTAGAGCAGTGGTGCTCAACCTTCCTAATGCCATGACCCTTAAACACAGTTCCTCATGTTGTGGTGACCCCCCACCATAAAATTATTTTTGTTGCTACTTCCTAACTGTAACTTTGCTACTGTTATAAATCAGGTGACCCCTGTGAAAGGGTCGTTCGACCCCCAAAGGGGTCTCAACCCACAGGTTGAGAACTGCTGCTCTAGAGGATCAGCTAGTGGGTTCAGCAACAAAGCACTAGCTATTGCACCACCTTGGGCTCCTATCTATAAATAGAACAAATCATGTCTACCTCACAGGGTTGTTTTAAGTGACTGAGTTATACGTAAGAACTGGAAGCTCTGCCATATTATCTTTTATGAGTGTTGGTTATTTATGACTCCTAGGGTTACCTCATTTAGTACTCAAAAGTAGCCCTAGGAGGTAGATAGTAAATTCAGTGTATAGAGTTTGAAACTGAAGCTCAAAGAACTGTAGGATTTGGTACAACCTTGGGGAAAGTATAAATAGGATCTAAAACTGTATCTGCTTATCCCGAGGTTCATGTCTTGTGTAGCACCATGTTCCCTCCACCTGGTTAGGGCACAGTGCTTTTCCTTCATGCACTCCTCAAACTTATTGGGAAAGTAAAATTAGCAAGTATGAAAAAGGCAAGTTTCAAACAAAATCATTGAAACAGTGGCATTTCTTCCCAGTAAATAATTCATACTTTTCCCCCCATTGTTAGCCCCTCTTCCTTTGACCCCAATCCGAGGAGCAGGAGATGGAATGGAAACTGAGGAACCCCCTAAGTCTGTTGAGGTCACCTCGGGAGCCCAACTCACAAAGCATCACATCCGGCAGAGCCCTCGGAAGAAAACCGTTGCCTCCGCGAGCCCAGGAGTTCTTCAGCTGGGGAAGATTCTTACTGAAAAAGCAGTGGAAGTTGAAGCTGTAAGAATATTTGTCCCCAAAGCTGCTATAACCCATGATATCCCTAACAAAAATGCCAAGGTTAAGTCTGGGGGACATCACAAAGGAGACTTCCTCAGTCTGTCGGAGGGAGTCGTGGAACCTAGGAAAGAGCTGTCTGAAGTAAAGAGTGTTTTGGAAAAGCTCAAGAACTCTGAAAGGAGGTTATTGCAGGACAAAGAGGGTCTTTCAAACCAGCTCCGAGTTCAGACAGAGGTAAGAACAGCCATAACAGCTTTCATGAATACTGTCTTTGTAAAAGGTTGGAGGTTCGAGTCTAACCTAGGGCACCTCAAAAGATAGGCTTGGCAATCTATTTCCAAACAATGCATCAGCCATCGAAAACCTCATAGAGCACAGGTCTGCTCTGGCACATGTGGGGCAACCCAGAGTCACAGTCAGCTCTGTCGCAACTAGTTTACCAGGTTTACTCTTTGTGTCGGCCTGGACCTTCTAAGCCTACTGTTCAGAAACTGAATATGAAAAAGCGCTTGATTTTGTTGCTTTAATCTTTCCAAACCCCTTTGTCATTTAGTTCATTTCAACTTGCTGTTCCCCTGTTGACAGAATAGAATTGCCCCGTAAGGTTTCCAAAGCTGTGAATCTTCAGAGAAGCCAACTGCCAAAACTTTATCCCCTGGAGCAGCTGGTGGGCTTGAACCTCTGACCTGTTTGTTTAACAGCCAAGCATTTTAACCTCTGTACCACCAGAGTTCCCTTGCTTTGTTCTTCACATCTTATTAAAACATTTTCTCGTATTCACATGTTTTTTTTATTAGATTTCAATTTTTTTCTTTTTGATACTAGTCCTCATGGCACTGTGGTTAGTTGTTTTTGTCCAAATACCTAAAAATTATCTTTAATTAATTTCTGATTACAAAAATAGTATACAATTATTGTAGACATTTCAGAAAACAGAAAAACACAATAATCTATAATTACCATAACAACTATAATCATACCATCCAGATATAACTATATATAAAAAGTTCATCTTGGTTTTTAGCCTACTTAATACTAACTGGCCTTCCACTGATTAACATGTCCCCTAACAATTGGGAGGACGGCACAAGACCAAGCAGTTTAGATCTGTTGCACGTGGGGTCACTGAGCCAGAGCAGCCGCAGCGGTGCCCAACAACAACCCGGCACAGTGTAGCAACCCTGGGGGTGCTGTGGGATAAACTTTGGGCCATTAACCAAGAGGTCAGCGGTTTGAACCCACAGCCACTCTCCAGGAGAAAGGTCGGGCAGCCTGCTCCCGGAACATCTACTGCCTCAGAAAGTCCTCTGTCCTGAGCGGTTGTTGAGTCGGAATCCGCTAGATCATAGGTTCCCAAACGTAGTCGACCTACTGCCCCTTTTAGAAAAATATTTATTTCCCTGGCAATTAAAAAGTTTTAATCCAAGATAAAGTGTAGGTGTCTGCTTTTGTACACACCCTCCCCACCCCCATGTCATCCCAGTGTCTTCCAGGGGCCAGTGTCACCCACTTCGAGAAGCACTGGACTTCCTGGCAGTAGCTGATGACACAGTGCTATTTTACAGTGTCATTAATCTGAGTTCTTCATTTGACTGTACCACAATTTACCAGTATCAGCCGCTCTTCAGGAAAAAAGATGAGCCTTGTTAATCCAGTAAAGAGTTTAGTCTTAGAAATCCACACGGGCAGCTCTACCCTGTTTGACTCCATTGCAGTGAGTATAGTTTGGGGTTATTATTGGAAATTTTTGCTTTAATCATTTACTATTTTCAATAGCAACATTAAAAACACACTTAAACATATCCTGGATTACTGCCTTTGTTAAATTCCTGAAAGCAAGTATCTTAGATCTATTAAAAATTTATTTTAAAATATTGAATAAAATAAAAGATCGTATAAACATGCTCTCTGATATTTTTAAGTGTTAATTGGAAGCAATTTGTAATTTTCGTATTCTTACTATAATAGGTTGTTTATAGCCAACCCAGTTAACAGTTGCAGAGATTAGTTCATATATATTATGAAATTTAAATATTTGCTCTT